AGGAAGGAAGCTGTAGCGATCATCTGTGACATCGAAAGAATGTTTTATCAGTTCTCCGTCACTCCTTTATCCCGGAATTATCTGAAATTCCTCTGGTGGAAAGATGGAGATTTGGAGAAGGAACCACAGGAATACAGGATGGCAGTTCATCTCTTCGGAGCCGCCTCATCTCCAGGATGTGCCAATTTTGGCTTGAAACATTTGGCACGACAACACAAATCTACCTATCCACTGGCATCAACATTTGTGGAGAAAAACTTTTATGTTGATGATGGGCTAGTTAGCGTCCCATCAGTCAAAGAGGCCAAGAAGCTGATCATTGAGTCACAGGAGTTGTGCAAAAGAGGAGGTCTTCGCCTTCATAAATTCAACTCAAATGAGGAAGCAGCCCTCGCCTGCTTAGATCCCTCAGAAAGAGCAGCAAACATCGAACCTCTAGGACTAGATCCAACCCTATCTGAGCGTGCGCTCGGTATTCAATGGTCAATTAAGACTGACACCTTCAACTTTAACATCAGCGTGAAAGATCAGCCTTCAACCCGACGTGGCTGCCTGTCTGTCATCGCTTCTGTTTATGATCCATTAGGATTCATCGCTCCATTCAACCTAACCGGAAAGCGTATCCTTCAAGAGCTGTGTCACAGAGGCATTGGATGGGATGATCCACTCCCAGAAGATATGAGGCCACGGTGGGAGGAGTGGATAAATGGTCTTCACAAGTTGAAAGAAGTTTCAATTCCGAGATGCTACCACCCATATGACTTCCATAACATTGTCAGGGTAGAGTTGCACCATTTTTCAGATGCCAGCTGCGTGGGATACGGTGCCTGTTCTTACCTCAGGTATAAAAATGATCAGGATGAAGTCTATTGCAGTCTCGTGTTGGCGAAAGCAAGGGTTGCACCCTCAAAGGTCACAAGTATCCCGAGACTAGAACTCGCGGCAGCTGTGGTTTCTACAAAGGTCAGTGTCATGTTAAAGAGTGAACTTGACATAAAGATTGATGAAGAGGTTTTTTGGACAGATTCACAAGTTGTGCTTGGATATATCAACAATGATGCTCGTAGATTCCACATATTTGTTGCAAACCGAGTTCAGCTGATAAGGGATAACAGTGATCCCAGTCAGTGGCACTATGTGGACACCGCGGAAAACCCGGCTGATCACGCATCTCGAGGTCTTCGTGCTTCAGACATCCATTCAACAAACTGGCTGCGAGGACCGAAGTTTCTCTGGGAGCGTGAATTACATCTAACACCCAGCTCTCCAACAGAATTACTTGTTGGTGACCCTGAAGTGAAGACAATTCAGGTGCTTGTAACGGAAGCCAAAAGCTGTAGCGACATCCTCGGGCGTCTGAGTCAGTTTTCTTCCTGGACAACAATTCTTAAGGTGGTTGCAAGAATCAAGAGGTTGGGTTCTAAACAGAAACAACACAGTGAGCATGTTACTGTTAAGGAGCGTGAGAAGGCTGCCGACGAAGTGATTAAGATGGTACAGCAGCAAGCCTTCCCCCGTGAGATAAAGATGCTTCAGGGAGAAAAACACCTTCCAAACTCAAGTTCTCTTTTCCGTCTCGACCCCATCTGGTCTGAAGGAGTCCTCCGTGTTGGTGGGAGATTGAAACAGTCAACACTATGTCACAAAGTCAAGCATCCGGTCATCTTACCAAACAACAGCCACATCACCAAGCTTATTGTGTCTCATTTCCACGCTAAAATATGCCATCAGGGTCGAAGCCAGACTTTAATGGAGCTTCGGGCCAATGGATTTTGGGTAATTGGTGGGAGCAAGTTGGTTGCTAAGCCGATACACACTTGTGTGTTTTGTAGAAAACTTCGAAGACCGACAGAAAGGCAGCAAATGGGCGAGCTTCCCAAGGAACGTGTCGAAGCCTCAGCACCTTTCACTTATAGCGGCATGGACTGTTTCGGCCCTTTCATTGTAAAGAAAACCCCCAAAGAATACAAAAGATATGGCTTAATCTTCACTTGTCTATGCTCTAGAGCTGTTCACATTGAAATGCTCGAAGATTTGTCAACATACTCATTCATCAACTCATTGAGATGCTTCATCAGCCTGAGAGGAGCTGTTCAACAACTACATTGTGACCAAGGCTCCAATTTTGTTGGCGCCAGAAATGAGCTCAAGGAAGCACTTAAACAATGTGACACCAAGCTATTGGAAATCTTCCTGACTGAGCAGCAATGTGAGTTTGTCTTCAATGCCCCCTCTGACAGTCTCGCAGGCGGCGTCTGGGAACGCCAGATCAGAACCGTTAGAAATGTGCTGAACGCCACCTTGGCACAGTGCCCAGGTCGACTTGATGATGCCTCTCTCAGGACACTGCTATATGAGGCCATGGCTATTGTCAACAGCCGCCCATTAGCAGTAGATGGTATCAATGATCCTCATGCACTGGAGCCTATAACACCAAATCATCTCATTATGATGAAATCTAAAGTTTCTCTTCCTCCCCCTGGAGTATTTGTCAAAGAGGACCTGTATGCAACAAAGAGATGGAGAAGAGTTCAGTATCTTATTGAACAGTTTTGGAGCCGCTGGAAAAGGGAGTATCTGTTGAACATATCCATGAGACAGAAATGGCACTTACCTCAGCGCAACCTCAAAGTGAATGACATTGTCATTATTAAAGACGAAAACCTTCCTAGAAGTCAGTGGCAACTTGGACGAGTGATTGAGACTGTTCAAAGTAGCGACGGCCTAGTTCGTCGAGTCAAAGTGCAAGTTGGGGAGAGGAAATCTCATAAAAAGAAACAAGATCCTCCCTCTAAGCCCACAGTTATTGAGAGACCGATCAAAAAACTGGTGCTGCTTCTTGAAAACTGAATAGAACGCAGCGATTGACAACACTGCACACTGCTTTATTAAGCATGATACTATAAGAAATCCTGTACAATCAATTTAACCTTTGCTTATTGTTCATTCATTGTACTAGGATTTGGTGGGAGTGTAAATGTCTGATAAATGGCATTTATATTCTCTTTCACAGTGTTATTTATGTGTTCACAAGACATTGTGGTTTCTACAGTGATTTTGGTTTTGGTGCTTTTATTTTGAAGCGCACTGTCTTCTTCTTCTTCTATTGTTTTTGTGACGTTAAACTTCCTGCCATTGTCGTTACTATGCCGCGCCCACACATGATGAGAGAAACGGTAAAACTTTAAAAGTATATTATATTTATCGTGTTCATCTGTTTGAATCCTGTAAAGTAATATTTGCATTGTGATTTCATGTATTATTTTTGTATTGTTCGTACCTTTTATTCGTAAGAGCTTTGAGCTGTGAGAGCGTTACTAGCTAGAGAGCATGCTAGCAGATGGAAGCTACATTGATTAGCGCCCTTGGAGAGCGGAATGAGGTATGAAAAGATTGAACATGATTTATGTGTGTTATTTGTGAAACTACAGAGAAGCATTTTGTATTTCTTCTGTTTTTTCTGTAGCATTTTGTATTTCTTCTGTTTTTTCTCTAGTTTTCACGGTGTTCAAGGTGTAATGCATGGTGCTCGTTGAGGAAAAAACGAAATAAACCGACACCCGTTTGAAACTCTCTGCGTCTTATCAAAAAATCAGAGGGGCCGCTACAATTCATTAAATGCTATTTATGTTCAACTCATAAACTAAAAGGTATTTTATTCTGGGGTGCCGTTTGTAAAGTTAAGCCAAAAATTAGGAGAAATATCTATGGTTATTTTGTGTGTTTATAGAGAAAATAAGGGGGTTAGTTTTTCAGTCATTCATTCATTTATAAAAATCTTACTTTATATAATAAATATTTAGTTTGGAGCTAAGTATTTAGTTTGCAAATTAAATATTTTGTTTGCTAAATAAATATTTAGCTCCAAACTAAATATTTAGTTTCTTGAATAAATTTCACTCCAGATTAAATATTTGTTTAACAAACTAAATATTTAACTAATATGCAAATTCACTTGCCGAAAAGCAGAAGTGAGCTACTAAAAAAAAGAAAAAAAAAAGCCTGGGAATCTATCTACAACTCCTAGGGCATTTTTCTCACACTGACAGAAAATGATAAGTTAGAAGATGAAAAAAATGTCATTATTCCAAAATGAATGGTCCTCTTTGAAATAATAATTTTTGACCATATACATCTGTTTTAAGAAATGGGCAAATGTTGAACGTTGTGTTAACTTGTGCCACAGAACTACAGCCATGCACATGGGGTGTCACTGTGTTGCCATAGCAAGGACTACTTTCCTTTCTGCCAGGCTGGAGGGAAGAAGCCGTGCCATTCCCGTTAATTACCCCCCACCTTCAATCAAGGTGCCTTCCACAGCTGAGAGTGAGACTTAATTAGTAGTGACACTCGATAGTTAAGGGTTAGTGCTTAGGGGGCGGTTTGGGATTCAGCTGATGACAAAGTGACTAAATAGAAACCAGTCTTTCATCTTGAGCTGTAGGAGATGTAAGATTTCCAGGCTTTAGCTTTGGTAGTTCACTTCTGCTTTTTAGCAAGTGAATTTGCATAATCGCTGAATATTTTGCTAGCACCAACTAGACAAATATTTAGCTAGCTTGGTGCTAGCTTTTCCATCCATACAGTCCAGAAACAAGCTCCATCTTCTTTTAATAGCAGGTAGAATCCAGGAAAGCCCTTTTCTCCTGTCAGCTAACAGTTAGCCATGTCTTCTTGGTGAATCTATCACTGTTAAATTCATTAGTTTTTACCGTATGTTGCAGTGATTCCTCTATTCTCTGACCAAAAGCTTGATTTTTAGTTTCTCCTCTAACCGATCCGTTAGCAAGAAGTCCTCTTAGTCCATCTTTTATCTTCCAGGATCCAGTTTGGAAAAAAAGAAAAGCAGCCACTTCTCCCTGTTGATCTTTCTAATTCAATCTGGATTCATTGTAAAATACGAATAGAAAAAAAGCATTTTAATTAAAACTATTAAAAGTCTTTTTCAATTTCTTCTTCATGTGAAACAAAAATCTACCAGAAGCAGAGAAGCTGTGAGTCTGTTCAGCAGGAGGAAGAGGAGCTGAGAGCTTCAGGGAGGAGCTGAGCTGTTACTGAACTATAGAAGAGACACAAACTTCCACATTCAACACAGTTCAAACATTAACTCTGATCATCATGGACTATTATGGACTTTCTCTGCTGGTCGCCTCACTGCTAACAGGTCAGATTCTAGATGTTTTAAATATGTTTGTTCTGAAATGTCAGCAATGTTTCTGAATCAAAAACTAAAACTCCTTTTTCTTCAGGAATCCGCTGTGAAGGACTGACTGCGGTTAAAACAGAGATCTCCAGCTTAGAGGGCAGCTCTGTCACTCTGTCCTATAATTATCCCAACCTGCAACCAGGAGATTATTTCTTCTGGTACCGTCAGTATCCAGGAGAACCTCCAGAGCTTCTGATCTCTCATGGTGATAAAGGATCAGTTCTAGCAAAGGTGATTTCCAAACTTCAGATTCACATAGAAAACAAACGCCTGGACCTGCTGATCTCCTCTGCTGCAGTGACAGACTCTGCTGTGTACTACTGTGCTGTGAAGCCCACAGTGACAGGAAACACCAGAACTCTGTGCAAGAACCTGCAATACTCCACAGCATCCACTAGAGGGCCTCACACACTGTTAAACCACTGATTCACAGGGCTGATGAAAGAGGCCCTCTCACTACAGTCATGAGTTTTGAGAATGACACAAATATTATATTTCCAGATGATCTGCTGCCCTCTGGTTTTCATGTGTGTTTGTCAGATGTTGTCATCACATACAAAAATACAATTGCAACCATTTTATGAGTAACAAAAGCTTTTAATGACAGTTACAATAAGTTATTGCAGCAAGTCAATATTTGCAGTGTTGACCTCTTTTCTTCAGGACCTCTGCTAGTCTCCCTGGCTGCTCTCAATCAACTTCTGGACCAAATCCTGACTGATAGCGTCCATTCTGCACAATCAATGCTTGCATTTGGTCAGGTTTTCGTTTTCCTAGGTTTTCTTTTGTCCATCCGTCTCTTGATGAATGACCACAAGTTTTCAATGGGATTAAGATCAGGGGAGTTTCCAGGCCATGGACCCAAAATCTCTCTGTTTTGTTCCCTGAGCCAGTTAGATATCACCTTTGCCTTATGGAAGGTGCTCCATCATGCTGGAAAAGGCATCGTTCATCACCAAACTGCTCTTGGACGGTTGTGAGAAGTTGCTCTCTGAGGACATTCTGGTTCCATTCTTTATTCATGGCTGTGTTTTTAGGTCAGACTGGGAGAGAGCCGACTCCCTTGGCTGAGAAGCAACCCCACACATGAATGGTTTCAGGATGCTTTACAGTTGGCATGAGACCAGACTGGTGGTAGCGCTCACCTCGTCTTCTCCCAACAAGCTGTTTTCCAGATGTCCCAAACAATGGGAAAGGGGATTGATCAGAGAAAATGACTTTCCCCCAGTCCTCAGCAGTCCACTCCCTGTACCTTTAGCAGAATATCAGTCTGTCCCTGATGGTTTTCCTGGAGAGAAGTGGTTTCTTTGATGCTGAGAAACTAGTCCATGCATTTGTTACTTCAAGGCTGGACTATTGTAATTCTTTACTATCAGGAAGTCCACAAACTGTAGTTAAAAGCCTTCAGCTGATCCAAAATGCTGCAGCCAGAGTTCTAATGAAAATGAAAATGGTTATTTTGTGTGTTAAGACATCAGGACACAGTGTCAATCAAAGTTCAGGGAAAATCATTTGGTCTAAAATGTGTTGTTAAGATCTTGGTGTTGTTGACTTGCTTGGTAAATCATTTCATTCACCTCTCTAATTCTGCCCGCTTTCTCAACAAGATTCCCTTCGCATCTTGTTGGCATCCTACCTCGTTCTCTGGGCATGGACTGAACTTTTAAACCAGGTTAGTGAATCATGTTCACGTCAGATTATCATGGTCACTAACCTGTATCCTTTCTACCGATGTTCCTGCAATAGGCGCCCTAGATGCTGCCACTGCAGATCTACTGTTCACATTTAAATAAAATATCTTCACACATTTAAGGATATTTTATTATTAACGTTTTCTGATTTTACACCCAAACATAGAAATCCCACATATGCACAACTCCCCCTATATTTTTCATGGTCTCTCTCTGGACCCCGAGGGAAGCATTTGGACGGTGGGCTTCTGGGCTCACGGAGGTGGTGCATGGTGCGTGTTTTAAAGCCGCTTGTGGAGAAATGTCCTGGGCCGTGAGTCGCGAGGAAACAGGAAGCAATTCTTGTGGGATGGAAGAGGGAAATAGTGAAAACAAAGAAAGTTGGAAGAGGGTAGCGTCAAAAAATGAGAAAAAGCTGAAAAAGCAGAGATCAATTGAAGGGGAGTCCAGTTCAGAACATGTGATGATCAATCCATATATTCCACAGGAACACAAAATGATTACAAAGTCATATTAAAACTAGTTAATCAGGCAGACTCTTTTATAGATTGGAATCCAGTTCAGTTAACAAAATCAATAAATAAACTAGTAGAAGTGCCAGAATCCTGTATGGTGGAGACCTGTTAATAAACTGCAGAGACAGCCACAACAAGACAAAGCCATACGGATTATCAAGATTGAGGGGAAGAGAGTTCAGTGCAGCTTGGTGGAGAACAAAAAGATTAGCAGGGGAGTCATTGGAGGAGTTCCTCTAAAAGTTTTTAAAAAAGAGCTTCTAGAAAACATAGATGGAGCAAAAGTAAAAGAAGTTAAAAGGTTTAAAACAACAAGAAACAGAGAAAGGTGTGACAGCTTATCTGTGTTAATTAAATTTGAAGAAGAGCAATTACCCAGCAAAGTTTTCATTAAATATATGAGCTACAATGTCAAAAGTTACAATCCTCCACCTTTGAGATGCTTCAAATGATGAAAATTCGGACATATAGCAGCAGTATGCAAAGGAAAACAGTGATGTTGAAGGCGTGTTGGAGAGCAAGAATACGGAAAATGTAAGAAAGAAGCTAAAATGTGACTAGGTATTTATTATGTTGGGTTAAGTTAAACAGTTTGAATATTACTAACATTTATTTATTTTTTCCTTTCTGGGTTGAGTCTTGTTTCCTGTTTCCTTGCTTAACTGCTTATCAGTTGGTGGCGGTAATGCACTTTTAACTAGTTTGCCAACCACCATAAAACTTCACAAGAGAAAGAAGAAGAGACCAACCAAACTACCTTTTTATAAAGTGCAAAGGCCCCTTTAAAGTGATACAAACTATTTACATAAAAATCAATTTCCATAAAAATAGTCCCAATAATGAAGACCTCTTCATTACAAATTAGTCAAATGATTTAGTTAAACATAAATCATTTTTAGTTAATTGATTCTTCTTTTTGTGAGCTAGTAGTGAGCAGTCATGAGGATTCCACTGAATAATTTTTGGTCATAGTTTGATAATCAGAATGTAATGAGCATATGTTCTTAAGGCTCCCACCTCCACTCAATATCTGAACATTCTCAAAACTACAAAAAATTATTAAAATGGTCTGATTTGCAGAAAGTTGGTTTTGAACTGTCAACCGTCATGACTGAACCTTGGTCATTCTGGAGATCTGGACCTTGAGCCTTACCTTTCCATGATGGCTTCCTCTTCTAATGTGAAGCCCCAGGCAGCTTCATGGAGAGAGAACGATATCCTGTGGGTTGTGAGGTGGACGCTCACCTTTGTCCTTTAGAGTGGGGGGGTTTCACCATGTACTGGTGGAGTCCATAACTTGTTGGTAAAATAATCTGTGATTTTTTTTAGATAGTTTTTTTGTGTGTTTTCTTTCCCATTTGAGTTCTGTTAGAATTTTTAATGATGTGTATAATAACATCTTTTGTAAGGGGTTTCTAGCGTAAAATGTCTAAGAAGAGAACAATATTTGAAGGTAGACAGTTTCTCTGTCCTTTTATTGAAAAATCATAGATTTTCCACAGTTTTTGGTTTTCATCTGGTTGGAAGTTGTGTCTAAGCAATCTGTTGGTTAAAGCCACCAATCTACTTTGGTCGTGTTTTTACTCAATCTATATTGGTGAAAGGGCAAAACAATACAAATGGGTCATATTGGTCAAAATGAGGGTTAAGTAGTGTAGCTTCTTTTAAAAGCATCAACCATTGGAATATAAGGCAAAGTCTTACAGCTGATGCCACTTGCAAAAGCAACTCTTATTCTGAAAACATTAGTACTAAGTACTAATATCACAAGAGTAACCAGCAGCTTCCTCAGATTCTTATAACTATTTTTTTCTACTAACCAAAATAGTTTTAACCAACTAGATTGGATGGCTTTACAACCAATCTATTCTTAGAATCTATCCAAACTCTATCCAACTGACAGCAAATATGCTACAAACTGGCCCACATCATGACTGAATACTGAGGCTGTTTAAATGTGTGGTAATGTGGCCTTTTTGTTTAGTTGTTGCATGTTTTCTAATTTTGGATTTTCTTTATTTTTGAACTTGTTTGCTTGTTTTTAATTTTGTGTGTTGCATGTTTTTTTGGGGGGATTCTGTTTGGAGAACACATTGCCACTCACACCTGGACAGAGACGCGCACCGGAGCGATGTGCAGAGACGCGCACCGGAGAGAGGTGCAGAGACGCGCACCGGAGCGAGGTGCAGAGACGCGCACCGGAGCGAGGTGCAGAGACGCGCACCGGAGAGAGGTGCAGAGACGCACGCCGGAGAGACGCGCACCGGGGCGAGGTGCAGAGACGCGCACCGGAGCGGGGTGCAGAGAGGCCAGTCATGGAGTGAGAGGCGCAGAGGCACGCTGGGAGAGGCGCGTGTTGGAGGTGACCTCGCAGGCCAGCTACGCTGGAGAGGCCCACATGCGCAGCGTGCCAGAACGAGGATCCAGCGCTGGGGTGGAGGCGCGTGTTGGAGGTGACCTCGCTAAGGCCAGCTATGCTGGAGAGGCCCACACGCGCAGCGTACCGGAACGAGGATCCAGCGCTGGGGTGGACGGTGCCCTCCATTATACCCGCCAAGAGTGCGTCTTTTAACAGACTGGGCCATTGACTCTGCTGCTCTTCACCATCCGTATTTTTATCTTTCTTTTTAACCCTTTTCCTTTTAACTTATCTTTTTATCTCTTTTTTATTGGATTTTAATCCATTAAAC